TCAGAACAGATTAACTGTATTTACATTGAACCTTATGGGAAAATTTGATTCGGGTCACAACCAATTTGGGTCGCAACCAGAATCGTGGAATGAATTAAGTTCGTGAGCCAAGGTACCACTGTAATTGGTGCAATCTAATGCACTTTAAGCTACATTTAGATAGTAGTCTGGTGAAGAGAGAACTATTTACAACAGTATGACATCCAATAACTGAGATTGTATTTTAAGTTCTAGTTTGAAAGAAATATAACTTTCTATCATTAAGGTCCACGTTCCAAACTTCATCAGAGGTGAGATTTCATTATTTAGGAAGCTAGAAAAGAGAACTCTTCCCTCCTATTCCCCTTCCCCACAACCAGGCACTGAACTTCTGAAAGTGTTTTTTCAGATACAGTTTAGCCAATGCTACCTATAATTGAAGTGGCATTTTAAAACTGCATGAATTCTTCTGGGAGGAAGAGAATCCCGAAACCAGAAGTTGTTTTAGTACATCATTTTTTTTCCAAGTCTGAAATGTGGTTAGAATTGGGTATGCCTCACTTTAAAGATGCTTATTCATGCTGCTCCCTTTACGCCAGTACAACGTACTTGTTTTTCAAATATGACTGCGTTAGTAAAATTTTGATAATGTTAAACATAGAATAAAATTCAACTGGCTGATATTTCTTTCTACAGTCTTCTACTGGCTTTTAGAAAACAAGCTATAGATGAGAATGATCCAGGTTCTCTGTATAGTATGTAGATTTCACATAAAATACAAAATTCAATAATATTTAATACAGAGTATGATCTGACTCTTTTTTTCTGAGTAGTACTATTGATGACACTGCAAGGAGGTCATCCATTTGTACTAAACTATGTTCCTGATGATTCACTGAAGATGGATCACATATGCAAATTATGGAATTAATGGAAAATAAACAACCCTTTAGTTTTGTTCAAGATAGACAACCAATTATCGGAAATAAAGGAAAGCTCATGTTACTTGTACCAGTTCCAGTAAGTAAATTGTGGACACTATCATACATATGAATATACCTTGTTGGTTTGTAGGGTGCAAATATTATATTGAAGATCAAGGTCACAATTCCAGTTTTCAGATCTCGCTCTTTCTTTACCAAGTTTATAGCTACTGTAGATTTCAGCTGAGATTTCACTCTTTCAGATTCAAACTCAATTTCATACATAAATTCATCAGTTGTAGACAATCCTGTAAGATCCAGATCATTATCCATGTAATATAAATACATTTGGCTTTGTAAAGAGTTTGAAGTGTTGACTGAAATAACTAAGCAACAAACAGGAGTCAACTCCCCAAAGAATAGCTAAGCACAAACAAATGTATGTTTTTGTGCAACCAATGTATGTTTCCACAGAAGTCAGTTCCAATCACTTATGGGTTTCCTCATATAATTCTTTTTTACAAAAAAACTGAAAAACCATTGCTAAATTGCTGAAGTTCCCAAAATTCTCACCTATAAAAGCACTGCATTTATCATTTAAAAGAAAAAAAGGAAGAGGAAGAGGAAGAGGAAGAGGAAGTTTTTTTCACAAAGTAATTATTCCTGAAGTGGGAAAAATAATCTCATATTTGCAAAGCTAGAAACTTTGAGGTAACAGTTTATACGCATATCTGCAGATGGGGATCAATGAATTTTACAAATATGTCTCTTGCAGGATACCATTGGTTACTTGCAGTTATCCACTACAAGTGGCTATCTATGGCTGTCTATGGTATTCTCTAGAATTGCTAAATTAAGATGAAGAATGATCTCACTCTCTGTCACCTGGTTGATGCCACAGTATCGGGATTTAAAGGAGTGGAAGTACTTCTCCATCTGAAAGCCATGTCTACCTGGAGTGTTTTCTCCTTGTAGAAAGAAAGAGCAAATGGTATCCCTTTCCTTGTTTATGGAGTAGGTTTCACCTTTCTCAGTGCAGGAGAGGACAATGAGCAATTGTTTCCCATCTTCTCCTATGTAGGAAAAGACACTCAATATAGATTGAAGTATGGATCATTGTCTTCTCCCTTACTGAATAAGGAAATCAGGGCAAGATGAGGTAGGAAACAATTACTTTCCACCTCCTGAATGGACTTCCACTGGTCACAGGCCAGAAATGGATGCCACCCAGGCTTAATCTGGCCCATGAACCAGAGTTTGTTCACTGTTCACTTAATATATTATTTACAACAGTTATTTCAGTAACTGGAAGTTAGATTAGTACTACAGTAAGGAATAATGCCAAAAATGAAAGTTCATGAACAAAGATTAAATTCTGTATGAAAGCTCTTGGGTTAAAATATTAGGACTTATTCATTTATGTCATGTTTAAAATCATGATGTCCTCCAGCTGATATGCATACTATATCATTAACGTATGAATACCATTTCCAGCCTTTGTCAAATTGATCGGTTACTAATTGTGTACTAAAGTAGTGCATTCACAGTAGGATACCACTGAAGCCTCATAATTATTCCACAGCAGAAAATGTCATCATGCAGAGATTCGAACATAAAAATGAACTTAGTAGGGGAGAGGAAGAATGACATCATTTGAAACCTACCACACAGACAAAATTGCTATTGCTAAGCAGATGTTTCCTTCAGCAATCAAATTATTTATTGTGCAAAGACAATGGTTATTGTAGTTCATGTTGTTCAGGTATGAAGGTCTGAACTGTGGCTTATAATTGTGTTGTATATTTTGTCTCCATGCATTTCTAAAAGAACCTGGTTAGCTTTGTTTCTTCCATATGTACTCACCACCTCCTGTCATTCACTATGTTTATTTTTGTTGAAATCTTTCTGTTTTATCCATTATACAATGCCTCTACCAAGTACTTTATTGAATATGTTAACCATGAATAACCATCTTAAATAATGAATCACATATCACTATTTTAATGTTGGTATATTAGCACTAACACATCAAACCAATTATTATATAATGCCATGATATAGCAATAATATAGTGTTATGCAGTATATTAGCGTGAATTGACGTGTATGAAGGAGGGCTTATGTGAGACTCTCTCAAAGCAGGCCAAAAGGCTCAGGAAGATTTCAGCTTCTGCAGCATGTAGAAAAGTACCAGAATGGAGAGTATGAAGATAACACTATAAAAGATGGTTCACAAAGTAATTATTTCCTACATGAAATGAATGAGGTAATGCATTCTAGTGAAAAGTATCAGGAGGGGTGCAAAAAATGCCAGGATGGGCCAGGACAAGCTTTCATGGACTTGTCAAACCTTGTTGGAAGGTATAAAATGTAGGGGAATGGTTGTTCTTGGGAATCAACTCTTCTATGTTGGGTGTTCTGTCTGAATTCTACACATGTGGAACCCAGCCAGATTTTAAGTTGGATAAGTACGCATGGGTGGGAATGACTGAGTGAAACTTGTAAGCCTGCATTTGTTTTTACATATCCAAATCTGTGGGTAAAAAAAATTAAGAACAAGCAGCACTGAAGGAGAGTTGCAGCCTTCAGTGGTGTAGTTGGCAGAATTCAGGATGGAGTACTAAAAAAAAAAATTAAGAAAATTAAGAAAAATTTAAAAATTTAAGAAAAATTAAGAAATAAGAATGTTCAAAGTAGCGGGGGCTGAGCAAACCCAGCACAAGTTAGGTACCAACCCAAAGAGTCCGGGCAAGACTCTGGGATGGAGCAAACCGTATGATGGGAAAAGGTGGTACACTGGGAAAAGAGTAACATTACAATAGATGGCATTACCAGCGCAAAAGCAGGACAGTAGATTGAGAATACTGCAAATATAAATTTGCCCTGAAGGAGAAACCAAGTTGGCAAGCTGCTCAGGATGGCTGGAGGGCCAAGAAGCTAGCAGGGGCATTTGGTGGATAATTCTTAAACTACTTGGGAATGCATGTGAGTAGTCTGAGACAGCACTGTGAAAGGCGAAAGCTTTGTGAGATGAGCTAATTACACCCAGACAGCAGACCAGTTTGCTGCAAGAGGTCCTGATTGCTGCCCAGCATTATGGTGACCAAGAGAAAGAAAAGATGCCTGCTGCAGTGTGGCTGTTGAAAATAAAACAGAAAAAAAAAAAGATCAAAATAAAAAGGCAACTGGTGACTGTTGATTGGGAGTAGCCCTGAAAGATTTCACAAAAAGGAAATGGTAATGTGGAGCTCTTGAAGCCGTTGGGGGCATTGACAAGTGATTCTGTCATGAAACAACAACAGGGGCAAATGAAACAGGGTTTACTTGGACAGTTGCAGCTGTGAGGCCATCCCTGCACCCAAAGGCTGGAGAGGAGAGGAGGAACTGAAGCCCAAGGATTCCAGGACCAGAGGCAGAATAGTTTGGAGCAGGTTATAGCGGCCATGCAGACTCATTGTTGAGGGGAGCCCTGCCGAGCTTTGCAAGGAGGGTACCTGCTGCTCAGGGGAGTATGGTGGGAGATGCAGCTTTGTCGCTGGAGCAATCGGGATATAAGCAAAAGGAGAACCATCACATGTCTTCTGCACAGCAAATGTTCTTCCTTCTCTTTCCCTTTCTTCTCCCTCTGAGCAGGCAAAATGACACCGTGGGGAAGTAGAAAATTGCTGGAGAAAGATACTTGTGGAGGTGTTTGGGGCAGGAGTGCCAAAAGAGGAAATGTATGCTTTGCATAGAACAAAATGAGAAAAGAAAGAGTGCCTGAAAGTCCAGCGTGCACTCACTCACAGATTTCTTCTGTGTGTGAAATTAATAAATACGAAATGGTGCAACCTGAAAAAGGGTGCATTGATTGTAAAAGAAAAAGTGGCAAGATGCAATAAGGGTTGTAGAAATATTCTTCTTTTTAAAACTATCTTATCAGGAGCAAAAATGCCCATCATAAACAATGTAAAATTGGCCCAGTGCTGCAGATTTGTTAAATATAGCTCTCATAGAACAGGTACTACACATAATTGTGAATAGAGATAATATAGGGAAGCATAAGGGAATAGAGAAATAATGTAGTACAAAAAAGGGGTTTATTTTACTGATGGGGAAGGTGCTACAGAACAAGCAAAAAATAACCACATGACATATGGGCCATTCTCCTAGGAAGGAGGCTTTGCAATCAAAGATACAGAAGCATGAGTTACAGCACCTTAAGACAAAGTATTTTGTGAGCTGCCTAAATATATTGCTAGTTACTAGAACAAAAACAAACACAACAATCCAAAATGCCATGTTTTATCACCACAAAAATTATCTGAAAATCAAACAGTGAGAGCTTCTGATACCATGTTGGACAAAAATGGGAAAACCACTTAGAAAAATTGCAGTAATATAAACTAGCATGTGTGTGTATGTGTGTGTGTATACGTATATGTATATATAAAGAATCTAATGTCTATGATTACTACTTACCCTTAGTAATGAGCTTGAAGCAGTCTGGTGATTTTATCTGACGCTCTTCTATGGCCCTAGGGTCATCTTTTTTTTTTCCCCTCCCCTAGTCAAGGACTGTCAGGTTCAGCCCAAAGAACTCCATAAGACAGTACAGATCTAGTTTGATAGCTTTTATTAGCTTCCAGCCACAAGACAGAATCCTGCCAGACTGAATCTAAACTTCTCAAGCCAGCAAGCAAAACCCCACAAATTCCTTAGGGTGGTGCCAGTCTCATCTTCTTAACCTTCCCACACTCCTGCTGGGGGCTAAGGCAATGCTTATCTCCCCGAGTGTGGCCTTCACCAAACCATTCTATCACAAGGACAGAACTGTACTAATCTGAGGTGAAAAGTAGTCTGTTTCTCACCTCTAGCTCACAGATATGTTCAAAGTACATCACAGATCTACAAGATTCTGAATTATCTGAGTCATGCAATTAGGGTTAACCAGGGTTAATAGGGAGATTCTGGATAATCTCTATTAGGGTTTATGCATGACAAAATATATTGTAACAAGATATTGATATATTTTCAAATACATCGTCTGTTATATAGATATTCACAGATGGAATGGTAAAAATATTCATAGACTGTACCATTTAAGATTGACACCGAGGATCCCCATGAAGCAAAGTTCCATTTAAAAAAAAATCCCAGCAAATAGAAAACAATGTTTACTCTAAGTCTTTTTGTAGACATATCAAAATGAATGTGTGTAGCATGTTTTTTTCTCTCTTCCAAGTCTTAATGTGCAATCCCTGAAAGCTAAACTAGACAAATAGCGAATTTTGTCTGTTCTATCCTAAATTTGTTCTATGCTATGGATG